CGTGTAGCCCTGGTAGCAGCAGCAGAGACATGGCTCAAGTACAAACCCTTCTGAAATTGGTGGGCATGGCTCTGCATCCTTTGGTGAATGATGAGACAAAGAAATCATTTAGCTTCTCAGCAATGTCATCATCTTCCTTAGTTGCTCCTTTAGGGCTAGTTGTGTGCCTTTAATCTCAGCCCTGTGTGAATTCCTTCCCTGCTCTCACCTTCTCCTGTGTGGTAGTACTCTACAGTAGTTTCACCAGAAGCAGATTACTAGCCTGTCCCCTGTGCCAGCTGGACTGGCTAACATTCCAGGGGTGCAATCAAAACTGGGACAGACAGCAGCCTCATAGAGTTTGCTCTCCGTCTGCATCCAGAGCAGGAAGATGTCTTATTCGCCGTAATTCCTGGCAAAAGCCTGGGCCACAGTCTGGTCCTTCACTCCCTGATAGTCCAGTGGCCCAGCAGCCCTCTTGGAGGCTTCATGCTTCTGTTCTATGGAAAGAATCTCTTGGTAGATTTTTTAATCTTCAGCTAACTGCACTTCAAATCCCCTCTTTGCTCTTCAATTCCTTCTTGCATGTCACCCGCTCTGGTTTGTTGATTTCTGTTGGCTTCCCTAAGGTTTGGATTTCCATTTTCTGAAGGATACCTGTTTTCTCAAATAGTATTACCATTAAACCAGACTAGTTTTGCCTTTCTATGCTTTGTTTTTATTTTTATTTATTTTTTGCTTGGAGGCATTCAGTGACTCTATTAAGGAATGTTTAAATAGCCTCCATGCTGAATCAAAGGATTTCAATTTCCTTTTGATTTTATAGCTTTTTTGATAAGCTCTCTCATTTGTTTGAAAATCTTTCTTTCTACAATTGAACGTCACAGGGCTAGGTTTTGGTTCTATTCCTGCCCCGGGAATGTTGAACACAAGTGTGTTGTGGTCACTGTTACTTAGGGCTTGTGTACATGGAACAGCAAAGTGCTCTAGAGAGGTGTGATTTGTAAAGCACTCTACCATGTTGCACCCTAATGTAGGCTATGTTAACCTGAAGTAGGTGCCTTTTAATGTGCACCGCTAGGGTCTATATGGGGCCATTAGAATGCAACACGTTAGAGCACTATAGAAATCACCCCCTCTACAGGGCTTTGCCACGCCATGCAGACAAGTCCTTAGTAGCTCAACTATCTGACTTCAAATCATGTATTTTTTTTTCTTTGATTGGATGACTTACGCACTACACCGAGGTACTTTTAGCTGTCTGGCTATCCAATCTGAAATTTGCTTTTGGTGGATAGTCAAACCTTTGGATTTTAGATTTGCTTTTCACAAATATTTGTGCTAGTAAACACTCAAAAATTTGCAGAAAGCTGCCATGAAACGGTCATAAACACAGTGGGATTAAAACACAAAACAGAAAAAAAAAGAAAAAAGAAAACCTCTTCTCAAAAGAAAGCAGGAGAATGCCATGTTGTGTAACCAAATAATTTGATAATACAGCCTTCAATATCAGATTTAAGAAAAAAATCATTTGTACATTTCAAACTAAGGTGTGCTCACACGGTCATGTGTATGCACTAAACATGGCTTAGAGCAGTGTACATTGGGGAGCTATTATTTGAGGAAAGTGCTTTACTTTGCATTATTCCAAGAGCTACTATAAAAATATTTGAAGTCCTATTGGAAGCATAGCACTCTTGGAGACTGGGTCATTTTGCAGAGGTTCTTGGGGAACGTATGGTATATGCAGGGTCACATTAAGACACAGGCACTCATGCAGCTATCCATTGAAAGTTTCTAGTGATCATGATGGCAGAAAAAGGCTTGAAATGAGTGTCACTAAAGGCAGAGAGGTCTGCCTAAGTCTATAGGCTATAAGAAGCCTAACGGCTATAAGAAGGTGGCAGATGCCCGACTCATCTCAATAGAGTGTTAACCATACACAAGACCTACATCTTGGGGGCCCTGCCTGCCCCACCCCGGCAGAAGACCATGTCTGTGGCAGGAGGAGAGGACTGGACCTGCGTGTGGCACTAGTGAGATTACACTCTTCCCCTTCACCTGACACAAAAATGGAATGCAAATCCACTGAACTTACATCCCAAGACACACTTGGATGGAACTTGGTTTGGGCCATTTCAGTTGAAATTTTCACAGATGTTTAAGGCCAGAAGGGACCTCTCATGGCATTCTCTGTTTGCCAGTCTGTCTGTCTGTAAAATGATGACTTTTCAATCATGCATGTGATCCATTCCAAAATTTCAGGAAGTGTCCTAGGCATCAATGGCCAGAACCATACTGAGTTGGAGAAAATCAGAGAGAGGAACAGACGCATCAGGGGAAGGGAGGGAGGAGGGCCCATGCAAAGTCCCTGTTATGGGGATGAGGGGGGGACCTTGGAATGGGGGCACACAGGTGGAATGGGAGGCACACAGAACCCCTGGTTCGGGGGAGATTAGGGAAACCTGCTAGGGGGAAGGGGGCCCACAATCCCCCTTCCAGAGGGGAAGGCAGGAACAGAAGGCATGGGGGAAAGTGGAAATGGGAGTGCACTCAGAGCTGCTGGCCTGGGGACAGATGGGGGACCCTGGCACAGGAGGACGGGGAATGCCAGGTACACAGAGCCCCTGGCAGGGGACAGATGGGGGAGTTGCAGGGAGTCCCTGCAATAAGGGGTGGGAGGATAGCACCCGGGGAGCCAGGAGGGGGGAGAACGGGTGCAAAGAGCCCCTGGTGGGTGCAATGCACTCAGCTTGCACAATCAATGATGTGTGTGACCCCCTAATAGAATTCCATATTTCATAACTGTTACAATTTACAATGTACAGACATTCAGGTCACTGGTCAGTGATTCCCCAGATCACTCCAAGCACATTGCAAAAATAGAGGTACAACATTTGCTACCCTGTAACTTTCTTGTATGGCAGCCGATGACAATGAGAGTTTGTAGTTTTTTGTTATCAGCTCAGTCACTTCATGCTGAACCTCCTTCAGAACGTTTGTGTGTAACTATTTGAACCAGGTTACTAATTTGTACCAGCACCTCTTCTTCAGACCCCTCAGTCTTTGACAGTGCCTCATTGCTGTTACCTGAAAAGAGTAGGTCCAGGGTAAGAATCTCCCCAACATCCTCTGTGGTGAAGACTAAGGCCTTGCCTACACTACAGGGCCTATGCCGGCATAGCCCCCTAGTGGACACACAGCAAATGCCGACAGAAGGGGGCTGTTGGTGTAGTAACACCACCTCCCCAAGCAATATTAGCTATGCTGACAGAAGCTCTCTTCTGTTAGTATAGCTGCGTCTATGCTGGGGGGTTGTCAGCATAGCTATGTTGCTACCGCGTGTAGTTTTTTCACATCCTGACTGACATAGCTATGCCAGTATAAGTTTTAAGTATAGACCAGACCTGAGGGGAAAATTGCTTAACTTTCCAGCAATTTCCTTAATTTCCTGAATTTCTCCCTGGTGGTGTAATGGACCCACTGATCCTCTTGCAGGCATCTTGCTTCTGATAGTTGTAATTTCTTGTTATTTTTAAATACCTTGAATTATTTACGGTTCAAATTCTATTTTAACCTCTTAATTTTCTTCTTACATGTTGCCTGAGGTAGTTGATCTTCCATTTCCTGGGCTTCACTAGGGTTGGATTTCCATGTACTACTTGACTTCCTGCTCCCCTTCTTGGGGAAGCTACTCATCCAGCACCTACACAGAAATTTCAAGCAAAGAACCCTAAAAAAAGCCTTACGATGCACTGAGACACTAAGCGAGTGGTCAGCAGGCAGGATGGAATAGTATAGAAGCAATGCACTCCGATGCCTGTCCTAGCAGCTGTCTGTGCTGCCTTTGAAGGAAGAGGTAAAAGACAGTACCAGTGAGAGCTGTGAAAGGAAGTTCACTGCATTACTGTTCTGTCAAGGGCACAACAGCGGCTGGATTTCTAGAAGATTTTCTAGAAAAAAAATCCAGCCGAGCAATTCAAATGGACAAACTTTGACCTGAGTGAGAGGAAAAAGAACAAGGGGTTGCTTAAAAAGATGTTAATAGGGATTAGGCTTCATGGAATTTTTGTGCCAGGGTTTTGCTGCTACAAAATCTTGTCCCTTTTTCTATGGTAATAATTGACAAATGCGACAGTTTATATCTCCATAAACTTTAAAATGTAGCCCCAAAATCTGTTTTTTTTATTTAAAATGTTTTCAAAGTGAGGATAAGGCTTGGTCTCTATGCAGAGTTAGTGTGCAGGGTTCCAAACGCCGGTACGTCACAGCGCACAGACCGGTAGTTTGCAGCATGCTAGAACTTACACCTCAGCTTGCTGTGCACTAATTCACCATATAGACAAGCACTAAGAATTTCCCATGGTTCTAATTAGTTTGTGCCCCCTCTGTAACTATCACTGCATACTGACTTACGGCCATATGCAACACTTTATCTGACATCTCAGTTTCATCATCCATAAACATGGTTAAAACTCTACCAGCCAGTGGCAGTCACCCACTAGAGTCACATTTCTATGAAAGAGTGCTCTGCTGCAGGACGGCATTCAGAGCAACCCAATGAAACACACTCAATCGCTGCACCATTTCCTCCTGTGGCTTTGTGCGTATTCATTACGTGAGCAGGACATGGGTCATTTACTTTCAAACACATATATTCACATATACACACACAAATTAAGACTTACATTTTCAATAGTGCCCCTAATTTTCAGGTGCTGCCATTTTTAGAGCCCACCTGGAAACACTTTTTGATTGATTTCCAGAGCTGTTGAGCAAGGACAATGGGAAGCCAATGGGAGCTGCAGATACCGAGTGCCTCTGAAAATCAGAACCAAAGTGTCTTAAATCTCCAGGATCCCTCTGCCATGCTCACACAGCCTGTTAGGAAAATGCGCCTCCTGGTAACTGGATCAAAATGAGGAGGAACTCTATAAAATGGAGTGAAACTGTTTGTAGAACAATAAGGCCCAAGGGGAGATTCTAGGAAAGCATGTGTGGTGGACATTTTCAGCCATTACCTGTGGGTGTAGGTTTATGGAGGGCTGGTTTGGGGAGTAGGGCCCCCCAAGATCATTCCTGAGTAGGTTATCGCTGTGCATCTTTGTTTTGAGGCAGGTGATATAACGGTTACAAAAGTCCTTGCACAATTCATTCACTTTCTCCAGCTCCAGCAGATGAATTCTCAGGACCTGAATTGCTTTCACCATCTGAGAAGGATAAACAAGGAGAGTAGGTCAGTGCATATCCATTGGCTTTCTAGTAACTACTAGAATCATTGGGCAACCTAAGGAACTGCTAAGGATGAGTATCTGCAAGATTACCTAGGAACTGCTAATGACGACAAACTGATTAAATAACCTAGTGTACAATTTACCACATAATCCTTTTTAGGACTGCAGTTCAGATCTGTTGGTGCTAGTGCAGAAAAGCAGCCCTTTCAAACAGTGCAGCTTTTTCACTAGTGGTAAAAGAAAAATAAATATTTTTGTTGCCATGGAATTCACCAATCTGATTCACCCCCAAGTACTGCTGCTAGAGGTCACACTTGGAACTTAACTAAGGACAAAGTGGAAGATATAGAATCTATGGCCAAAAAAAATCACTTGTTCAGTATATTTACCAAAGAAATTAAATTCTAAGAAATTAATGGAGATATCCCATCTCCTAGAACTGGAAGGGACCTTGAAAGGTCATCGAGTCCAGCCCCCTGCCTTCACTAGCAGGACCAAGTACTGATTTTGCCCCAGATCCCCAAGTGGCCCCCTCAAGGATTGAACTCACAACCCTGGGTTTAGCGGGCCAATGCTCAAACCACTGAGCTATCCCTCCCCCGAAGTACCTGCC